CAGAGCTCGCCCGGTTTCATTTTTATTGTTTCGCAGACTTATTACTCTTTCCAAGTGTTTCCCAGGTCTGCTGCCTGTTTTTTTTTTTTTTTTTTTTTTTTAGTATATATGAGCTCAGGTAGTCAGAAGAAACACTTTAATTACATTTTAAGTAGAATAAAAGCATAAGTATATTTATGAAAATTCTAACAGAAGGCACAGTGAGACCATTAACTTAAATCCCCAACATACATAAAGTGTTTTGTTCATAATAAAAACCCCATAGTTATTGTGTTAAATTGTACCTGCATATTAAAAAACTGCCCTAACCACTAAATATTGCTTAAATGTGCCTATTGTAGTTACAGTTTCTCCTATAAAAAGTCTACTAGGAGCTCGGGCCATCACCGCTGTCCCTCAGGCTTGCCCTTAAGTTACTGCGCCAGGAGGAGGAGGAGCATGCTGTTGGCTGGGGATGACCCTTCCCCTGACTCCCTCAGCCGTGACTTCTGTCTTATGGGCCTCCGTTTCTAAATCACACCTGTGCTTTGGTTGAACTTGATTTTAGTGAACCTGCTCCTAAGTTTGATCAAACAGCAGCATGAGGTGAGGGGCAGGAGGAATTGGGGACCACAGGGGAAATGGAACATGACAGGGAAAGGGAAGCACATGGCACACAAAGCTCCCCACAAGCAGCCAGAGGCCAGACACTGGCCCACCGCCTTCAAGGGACCCAGTTTTCTGTCTCAGCACTGGACGCGACTCAGAACTGGTTGGCCTTACTTCCACCATATCTAATGGAACCCGTTCTTCTCTAGATGCGCCGTGAATTATCTGCTGCTTAACTTTCCATGAATACTGATTCAGAGTAGGATTTTTCCTAAAGCATTCAGTAAGTCAGTTTATATCATTTAAAAAGTGTATGCATACCTTCTGGGCTGAAAATAAAAAAGGAAGAGCTGAAGAAGCTTTGGTTCTTCCCCCAAAGAAAAGCACAAGAGAGAAGATTTTATGAAATATGTGTTGACTGCTTAATTTGTGATAACACATTTAAAAGCCAAAAGTCAGTGGAATGGGACAGAATAGAATGTGACTGCTTACTGAAGTTACAGATAAGCCCAGATACCTGGTTGGTCGTCAGTCCTACTTTGTGGATTTATAAGTGACTTGGGGTTGTCCCAGGGGAATGAGTAATGAAGGAGGCACATCTGTTCCCTCCGGGGTTGCATGTCTGAGTTAGGAGAGGCCCTGGGCCAGGCAGAAAGCAGGTCCTGATTCTGATGGCCATGTCCCCGTTTCAGTTACCGTTTTGGCTCTGAGAATTTCCAAACTAGAAAAACAGTCAGGGCCCGTTCTGTGAGAGACCATGTATCACCAAATCATGGCTTCTCTGAATATAAGCCAAGATTTATTTTCTAACTAGACATTCGCCATGCATGAATAATAAGAGTCTAAGGTGTAAAAGTACATATTTTCTCAGATATTTTGAAAGTTTTTGTTAACCGAAACCATACCAATTTAACACTGGGCTTATCTTACAGTGTTATGAAAGGAAATCTCCATTTCAAAGGAAAAAGTTGATATAAAAAATTAGCCAACCAAACTAAAGCAGTCCGTCTAGAAGGCCCTTCCTCCCAGTCTCTGTGCCATGCAAAGGCATCTCTCTTGTTTTCCAGCCCAAGGATTAGGACATATGATCGTAATGATGCAGGTGAATTGTGTGGGATTGTTCCAGAAAATGTGAGGCACAGTCCCCAAACCTACAGGGAGTCAAGAGATTGGCTGTCATCTGTCATCCAGTCTTTTCTCTGGGCACCTCTTTGTCTTTCTTTCGCTTACAAAATTTCATTTTGCCATTTGCAATAATTTCCATAGTTCCCCACTAGGAAGTTGAGAGGCTCTGCACAGGAACTTGCCTCTCCTGCTATTGTGTCCTTGCCATGAACACATATCAAATAAGCTAAAAACCAGAATTCTTCTGAAAAGTAATCAACAGTTCACATGACAGTCTTTTACATTCTCTTGATGTAACCCTTCACTCAGAGATAAGACATAATTTAGGGCTGGAAAGCAATAATGTTGGTCTGTGTGTTCAATATGTAGATTTAATACTGTTCTCCTCTTCAAAGCCATCGTCACGGTAGAGCTACGCAGAAGGAGCAGTGGACTCAGAATGACAAAAGGTGGAGATCTGGTCCTGGTTCTGTCAGGTCCTTCAACCATAAGGCATAGAGACTACGCTAGTGGTGATGTGTTCATAATACAGGCACATGTTGGGCTCCCTACCCCTCCATCTCGTGTGCTCTGAAATAGGGAAGATCTGAGGGCCCTACCCTTAAAAAACTGTTGGAACTATAGTGCTCAAATGGAATGAGATTAGTTATTATTCCATTTGTTGTTTTGTGTCTGCTTCCTGACCACCAATTAAGTGAAAACAATGAAGTTCATATAACTGGTTTCAAATGCAAAGGCTATTACAGATCCCACATTTCACAGGCATGCTCATGAAACACAGCCGTGACACCATGGCTGTTGCCTGTCCCACAGGAGAGCTTCTGTGATCAAACATGAGAAGCACTTCGATGTGTGACTCAACCTCAGTGGACTCAAAGGCATTTCCTCCATGCTTGAAGCTGGAAAACCCGATATTTTCCCTTAATCTGTTTCCTTCTTCCATCTGACCACAAAGAAACAAAATAGGAGAATGCTCTAGACTTGTGAAAAAGACAGAGGGAAGTGAGATGACTGGTTAGATTAGTACAAACACCAAGTAAAATTGGCTGTTGTCAGTCAGATATAATTGTTAGTCAAGTGTAAAATCATTGTCATTCATAAAGTAACAAAGACAATATTCAGAAAAAGAATATCTGACTTGAAAATCTCTGTTGCTATGTTGAAGTGTATTATAGAACAGAATGGAAGCTACATGCTTGAATCAATCCTGATTACATAATGATCTTGACTAGTAAACTTTCACAGCTAGTATTTTTTACTTCATTTATTGATAACTCAAAATTATTTTTTTTACTGCATCACACTGTGTCTTGCCCTTCAACTAGCAACATGGGAAGCTATTTCAAACCATTTGTGTAAAAATTAGTATCAAAAGTGTGAATTTATTTTGGTGCAAACCAGTTTTCCTAATATATGGAAAATATATGTTATGAGAAAATTAGGCATGGATTTCAAATTTTCTTCATCCAACTCAGACTATTTCCATTTTTTACACAAACTTTCTGAATTAATCTTGATAGAGTATCATTCTTATACAGTCACATGTTGCTTAACAACAGGGACACACTCTGAGAAATATGTCATTAATCAGTTTCATTGTTGGGTAAACACACAAAGTGCACTTAGCCTCAGCTGCTCATGATGTCACAAGACAATATAATTGTATGAGGACCCTGGCCTCATATGTGATCCCTTCTTGACCAAAGCAGCATCCTACAGTGCATGTGTGTAAAGTGTGTTTAGACCTGATCAGCTGCCATGGGCTTTGTTTTCGCCTTTGTTTTCCAAAAGAGCAAATAGAATGTAAGAAAAAAACAAAAGTTGTTGTGATAATCATGATCTATGCTCAAACTCAGGGGCCTTTAAAGACAGGCTATTTAAAACTCCTTGACTCGTATGTGCGTAGTTTCGTCTTTTTCACACTTGTACTGATGTAATGTCGGGTATGAATGTGCTGATAAGGACAAGATCTGAAGCCCAAGACTGGGAAAGAGCTGAGAGCGACTCTTTCCCAGTTAGTCTCTGATGAGAGCTGAGCTATATGTGTATGGTAACAGCATTATTGATACCAACAAATGACAAAAAAGCAGGTTTTTCAAGTCTTAGAACTCATATACATAGGAAAGAGAAATAAAGCTTTAATTTTGAGTTCAGGGCAAAGATGTTTGTTAACCAGAGCTTGCAGCCATGAATACCTTTAGTCAGTAGTTGCTAAACTACTTCCATGGGGCAGTGGACACATAGGTAGAAATGACAGAGCATGCTGAGCATCGTCCACTCCATGCCGGAGTGCTATGGGACATGCAGATGGGTGGAGCAGAGTCCCAGAAACCTTAGAGAAGATGTGTCAACTGCAGTAAGACTGAGGTGTAACTCACCTAATGAACAAGGGCCCATGAAAAGAAGTCACTAGCATTGGGAAGTGGTAGAGATGGCCAAGATGCTGGGAGGAGGAGGAAATGGGAAAGGAGGAACTTTGGGAAGAGAAAACTGTGAGTGCTATCCCAGGCTTGTTTGAGAACAAGACTTCTTGACACCATCTGTCCTTCAAGCCTTTCAGAATAGGGCCTTTCTCATCCATGCCGCTATTGTCACTTCTTTCCCACCTGCTACCAAGAAACACAGGAGCAGGTGAGACAAAGCCGAGAAATAAGTGTCACTGAGTCCTGCTTGCTACCATCCTTCTTCCATAGCCCCCTACTTCATAAAGGGAAAGCATTAAAATGTTACATGGGCTAAATTGGAAATGAAAAGTTCCATTTTTTTTCCACTGTCCACTGACAGTAGAGGACATTTTTATTATAATTGAAACAGAAAAGAAATACATCTAATAACATGAAGATTAAATACCCCAGGAATAATAATGCCAAATCCTCTCATTTAGCAAGCAGAGAGAGGAAAAAAGATATCTGTATCTCTTATAAGAATAGTGAAAAATGATCATGTAATTTAAGAAATTGAGAGACACTTTAAATTTTTCTCCGCATCACGTATCCAGGTAGCGTAGGAAGAGTGGTGATTCTCTGTTCTGTGTTGTTCACTGTGCACCTCCACTCCTGCATTTGTAAAATATTAGATAAAGTGGGAAAACATGTTTAGCAATGCCTAAATGAAGTCAAGAGATAAAGCCATTTAATCATCCTTCTCACTGCTGTGCACATTCTTGCTCTGGCCCTTGGTCCCCGTTTTTTTTTTTTTTTTTTTTTCAGAATCTCCTCCATCACTGAGCTGCCTTTGTTGATTACACCAAATTGTAATGCTTCCTGTCCCTTCCCCCTTCCTTTCAGAGTTTCTTCGAAGGACAATCAGCACCATGGGACTCTGCGAAGAAAGATGAGAACAGAATGAAGAACAGATACGGGAATATCATCGCCTGTAAGTGTTGACAGCATCACTGTGCTGTTGTATAACTTTGCATCTCATAAGATTGACCACCAGACTCATGCAGGGAGAAATTCCAGGGCAGTCACTGCTTCTGGTCCCAGAAGAGCTGCTGCTATGCTCACACTAAAGAAAGAAAAAAAGCTAGCTGAATGCCCACATTGCATTACTGTGCTCGTGTTGTTGGCCCCACTTCATTTTCAGATTTAAGGTCTGCAGAGCCTTGGTGGTCTGTAAATGCTGAGAAGGAAAAGCGTTTTAGAAGTAAACATAATAGCAATAACGTCTCCCAGTTGCTCCGTGAGAATTACCAGAAATAATGATGCACAACTTGTCTGAATGCAAAGAACTGGAGTTCTCTGCAGGCATTAACTCATTAATCCTCTGGACACTGTGTTAGGGAGGTCAGGAACAGCCCTATTTTAAGGACAGGAAACCAGAACTCCGGAGTTAAATGATAGTGCACACATCACAATATTCATTAGCAAAAAGAGCTAGGATTATATCAGTAATTCCCAGAGCCTGTGGAACAGAATGTTCCCAGTCCATAATGCATGGCATGGGTTTTTAAATCGAGCCCAACCTCATTAATGTTCTGTAATGATGCTGAGACACAGGGTAGATTGATAAGCTCCCTCGGACAGGGCTGCAGCCTCCTCTCCCCTGCATTAAGCTGTTCTATGTGGTCTGTGACCACGTCATGGCACCAACAAGCCCATTGACTGTGGCAGCCACTGGAACTACTTGTAAGTATAAGTAAACAAGTAATAATACTGAAAAACTAGAACCAATATTGGTCATGTGACGGCCTGGGGAATAGTAAGCTCTTGGTATCTTATCACATAGAAGACAACAAACTTGGAAGGGCTGGATAGTCCATGGGAGCATTTTGGGGGTTTCAGTGTTTGTGGCAAGAGCAGCCCCATCCACTTGCCTGAGTTAGCCTTCCTCAGTAGGACAGTGCAGATTCCAGAATTCTCTGTGAATGCAACACCATTAATCACATGGAATGTGGCTGGTGCCAGCAAGGAACTGAACTTTACATTCGATTTCATTTTAATAATTGTAAAGTCCAATACTACACAAAGAAAAGGGGGAGCAAAAAGCTAAGCAGTAATCTGCAACATCCCATTTGAGTATGGCTTGTGGCCACCAGTAAAACCAAACCACAGGTTTTGCAGGATGCAGGTGCTGGCTTTGCATGGGTGGAAGTTTGTTTCAAAACATGCTGCATCCCTCTAGTGTCTCAGAGAGCATGCTATGGTCCCTTTGGATATGAGATCTAATTGCCCCTTGGATAGTTCAGGTGACCCTGGTGAGATGCCATCCCAGTACTGTTCATTGAGGATGCCTAAGTCATTAAGATGAGATGTTGTTCCTAACTCCAGAATGGAGCAGACCCCATACCGTAACTATCATCCATTGCCGTGACAGCCATGTATACAGAGCTGTGGAGGTTCAGAGGAGGAAAATGAAACGTAGTTGGACTGCATTGATGCTGCATGTTGCCTGGGGGCCAGTGAAGCCCTCCACAGTTAGCAGCACTAGGACACTTCCTGATGGCTGCTGGGGTCCTTCAACTCTACAACAAGCTCCCAGGAGACTCCCAGAAGAGAAATGAAAAGCCTCGTTCTTGTGCAAAGGGATAGGACATGTTGACAAACCTCTGTGTCTGGCAGCCACATGGCCCTCCTGCTGAGCACACAGAAAGCAGCATCAAGGGATATGACTGCAAGCATGCCGAGAGTTCGCTGATGGTTATATAATACATTCTTGAGTCTACTTCCCAGAGCATACTTAACTACCTGCCCTTGAGAGATACATGAGAAATGTTTTTAAGTTATCAAGGCATGCATAACTAACTAAATAAATAAAGCTAGCATTTGCTACGGATGCACAGGTGTGATAAACACTAGCATGAACATGTCGGACTCATTAACTCATTGCTCCCAGTAACACCATCTCTGGATAAATACTCTTACTCTGTTACAGGCCAGAGTAAGGCCTGGTCGGGAGGTATGGGCAGCCTCCTTGAGGATGTGATGTGGAAGACAACTGCATAAATGAGTGTTCTGCAGACAGAGCAAGTGTCTTGTGAGTGATTGTAGCCTTTAGATTGGAGGTCATGAAGGAAGCCAAGGTACCGGGGGTATAAAGTACAAGTGAGGTTAGGCATAGAAGGAGGTAGTTGCCAGACCTTCAGAGCTCTCTAGAGAAAATTAAGGAATTTGGTTTTATTACAATACGAAAGCTGTTGGGGTGAGATATAAATAAAATCTGCATTAGATAGTTTTTACCTAACCGCAAAGTAGAAAATGGATTGGAAAGGGGCACTTACTATAGGTAAGAGGTTCCCTGTTGCACAGGCAGTTAATAGGATGATTAATAAGGGCCAGAAAGAAAGTACATTGATGTGTACAAGAGAAGTGTTTGACTGTACTGATTGATGAAATAAGGAAGATTATGAAGCTTTCAGTCTATAACTCACAGGAGGACGATGAATAGCAGATAGGCAGACAGGTGGAAGGATGGATGGCTACCCAGATGGGCAACTCTACAAGAGAACCAGACTTAACGTGGAATTGGAAGGTGATCATGAGGTTGGCAGTAGCACAGCAAGTTTATGAATTTAGTTGCAAGGGCATACTAGATGGCTTGGGAACATTCAAGGAGATGCAATAAACAAACATATAAACTGCTCTGGAACCCAAGCAGAAGCATCTAGACCCAAATGTTCATGAGTGAGTTGAGGCTTCCAGGAGCTGACTGAAGTCATCAGTGTGATGGTCTCACAATGTGAGAGGGCATTGGGAGCCCTGGGCCCAACCCAGAGGGCCTGTAGTAATGCAACAGCGGGCAATTGCTCAGCCTACACACAGATACATCGTGTCTTGGAGAAAAGGGAATGTCCATCCTGTGCCATTGATAGGTTAGTAAAGTTAATAAAGTTTCTGATGCTGGGTGAAGACATGACTTGAGTGTAGACAGCTGTGACTACAAAGGGGAGGAAGACAGGAGTCCTTCTGTTGCCTTTCATCTTGATTGAAGAATGAGGCAATTAGAACATAGCAGGTATCTCATAGACAACAGACTCCAGTCAGCATTAGACAACAGTAAAACTACAAAGATATATGGGGGAGGGGAATCAAGAGCGATCCTGACATCCTCTTAACAGGAGGTCATATGCACAGAGCGGGGGAAGACCCCAGAATGGAGCAGGTAGACAGGAGGAAACTTATATCCCAACCCTGAAGAACCCTGGATCTACACGAAGGACTAGCAGTATGGGCACCAAGGACTAAATCCCACCTGCCAAGGAGACCACTGGGAATTGGAGTGCCTTTGGAGGGCGAGAACTCTGAGGTCATCCACCCCCATCTGGATCTCCCACATGGGATGGAAGAAGCCCAAATCCTTCCTCACAGGATCCAAGGTCATTGGAACAATAGCTAGGAGCCCTGAGCGGTTCGTAGACACAGAAGAACAGCAAACTTCCTTCGGGACTAGGGAGAGGAGCTTTCTCTGGTCCTCACTTAGTTCCAACTTTGGATCCCCATCCTCTCTGGCAATGACTATCAGGAGCCACCCCCCCGAAAAAACAAACAAACAAACAAAATCAGAATAGACAGAGAACAACAAGGAAAGCTTAGAACCAGACAGGAAACTGTCAGCATGGATTCACCTTACTAGGTAGGACACAGAGATTAGATACTCCTCAATGGGGTATGGAAGATTTCTCTGCACACCCCTCCTAAAACAGTTCTATACCTCAACTGTTGACAAATGCCTTGCTAGAGTTATAAGCAGTTTAGACTATCCTAAAATCTGCCAAGGTCAGTAGAATAGTGCTTCAACACTATAAACTAAAATGAGGATAGACACGAGACAGCTGAAGAGTACCCTATAGCCACTTTAAGGAGTATAGAAGCTAGTTGTATATAAACTAAAATCAAAATGTCAATGAAGTAGTCACAGGATATGGTTAAGAACTTGCATCTTGTAACATATTGTTACTCAATACCATGACAATTAATTCCATAATGTTGTAAATTGTAGTTGATGTTAAGTTGGGACTTTTGATTGACCAGGATGATATTCTGCCAGCTCTACCTTCAGACCAGAAATGGTCTCCCCAAGAAACCGTTGAATGTATAACAGTAAGATGCTAGACTCTATGCTTGCAGTGAAAGAATCTCAACTGAATTTGATCTGTAATACTGCAACTAGGTGGAGGAATTCACCATGGGGGAGGGCATGGGAAGGGGTTGAGGGAATCCCAGAGCCTATGAAACTGTGTCACATAATACAATGTGATTAATAAAAAAAAAAAAGAATGAGGCAACTAAGAAAGGAGTGAAACTTTTCAACTTACTTGTTCCATCAGTCCTTCTGAGCAGCGATCAAATCTGAATGGTCCAGACTGAAGACTTCAACTTTATAGGGTTTGGTACCAAAGCAATGAGCTTCCCCATTGTCCCCTAGGTGCCTACATTGTCATTGCCTAGCTTAACTGCAGAGGCAGGGCTGTGGGTAGGGAGGGAACCAGAATGTAATGAGATGAGAAGGATCTGTCAGGAGCATTAAATTCACATGGACCTAAGTCAGAGAGATAAAAAATATGTCTGGGAAAACATAAGGTAAAATCTAGAAAGATCAGACACAGTGAAAGTGTATCTGGGATCCCAGCCCAGATTCTGAAGGGTAAATAACCAAAAGCTCTAACAGAGGGATTAGATAAACAGAGAGCCAGGCACCAGGCACGCTTACACTGATGGCGAGAATGCCACTGCACAGCCCCACCCACCATGCCTGGCTGCTTGGCAAGCAAGGCCCTTGCACCTTGAGACAAGTGTGACTGGAGTCTTTGGTAAGAGTGTAGGCTCAAGAAAGCAATCATAATTAAATTAATCTCCAGTCTTCCCTCAGAGGCCAAATGTTACTGAGGTCATTGTAATTCCAGCTTACTCTAAATATGTCATCAGTATTTAGCAGAG